TCAGCAACATTTCTAAGTCTTGGAAGCACAAAGAGATGTTCAGAGTAAACCGATGGAATGGGAACAAATAAACATACCTAAGAGCATAGACAGGATAGTGGTCTTTCCTGCTCCATTATGTCCCAGCAAAGCAGTGATTTGTCCCTCATACAAATTCAAAGTCAGGTCTCTCACTGCTTCTTTGAAAGTATTCCTCACCTCAAATGTCTGTAAAAAAGGCAAATAAATAAATAAATAAATAAATAAATAACTTTCTATGTGACATTAGAAAAGTTTTATAACAAAGGAATGTGCTACTTTATTTTCAGATGCTATCTCAAGAATATTTCGGTTAGCAGCAGAGCACTTTAGCCACTGTGCCACTATGGTTATTCCATGGAATCTAAGCCAAATCAAACCAAACTCACTGCTGTCAAGTCAGATCCGACTCATAGCAACCCCTTCTTGGGTTTCAGAGGCGGTATCACTACACAAGTAGATTGTCCAACCTTCCTTCCTAGGAGTGGCTGGTGGCTTTGAACTGCCAGCCTTCTGGTTAGCAGTCAAGTGCCTTAGGCACTATGCTACCAGAGCTCCCTGGAATCTAAAAAGACCTCAAATAGTCAAAACAATTCTGTAAAAGAGGAACAAAGTTGTAGTATACACACTTCTTATTTCAAAACTTACCACCATGCTACAGTCATGCAAAAAAAAAAAAAAAAAAAAAATCAAGCTGAACCCTTACCTTACATTATATATACAAATATTAACTTAAAATGAATCAAACACCAAAATTTAAGACTAAAACTATAAAACTTTTAGAAGAAAACCCAGGTGAAAATCTTCATGACCTCAGATTAGACAATGATTTCTTAAAAGATTTCAAAAGCACAGGTAATAAAAGAAAAAAACCATAAATTGGAATTCATCAAAATTAAAAACTTTTGTTCATCCAAGAACACTATTGAGAGAGCAAACAGTCCTCCCTCCCAATGAAACCAAACCAAACTCACTGCTGTTGAGTCAAACCCAACTCATTGTGACCCCTCCTTGGGTTTCTGAGGTGGTATCACTACAGAAGTAGACTGCCCAACCTTCCCTCTAAGGAGTGGCTAGTGGGTTTGAATCATCTGGTTAGCAGTCAAATGCCTTAGGCACTATGTTATGTGGAAAAAAAAAACTTCAAATCATGTATCTCATAAGAGGTTAATATTAAGAATATAAAAAGAACTACAACTCAACAACAAAACATATGCAATCCACTACAAAAATGGCAAATAACTTGAACAGATATTTCTCCAAAGAAGATGCATAACTGGCCATAAGCACATGGAAAGACACTCAACATCATTATTCATTGTTATTGTTAGGTGTCAAGTCGATTTTGACTCACAGTGACCCCATGTGACAAAGCAGAACAGTCCCATAGTGTTTTCTAGGCTGTAATCTTTACAAGAGCAGATTGCTGGGTCTTTCCCCTACAGAGCCATTGGGTGGGTTTGAACTGCCAATTTTTCAGTTAGCAGTCAAGTGCTTAATGACTGAACCACCAGGGCTCCTTTCATCAGTCATTAGGGAAATTCAAATTAAAACCACACTTCACCACTAGGATGGCTATTATGAAACAAACAAATCAGACACACACACACACACACACACAAATAAAACAACACAGAAAATAACAAAATCTACTGAGTATGTGGAGAAATTGGAACTTTCATCCATTGCTTGGGGGTATATAAAATGGTGCAGCCACTGTGGAAAAAAGTTTGGTGGTTCCTCAAAATGTTGAGTACAGAACTGCCACATCATCCAGCAGTTCCACTCCTAGCTACATAGTCATGTACTGAGTAATGTCCATTTGAGCAACATCTGAGCACATATATGTCTGTGGCCCCATAAGTTGTAATACTTTCAGAAATCCTGACTGGAGAATGGTATGCAACCACTTACCACACACAGCACATCCATTTCATGACTCTTATATATAAAGCCATTGTACTGTCAAGCATATAATGATAGAGTACATATAATACCCATCTACTGATAGTCACAATAAATGAAAGTTATGGATTACGTACGTACTGTACTATCTAAAATGTTTACAGTATTAACAGTATATGCTTCAACTTGCAGGCAGCAGCATACAATCTCTTTTTTTTAAAATTTTTATTGTGATTTTGATGAAAGTTTACAAATCATATTGGCTTTACATTCAACAATTCACACACATTTTGGTTTGTGACACTGATTGCAATCCTCACAATGTGAAAGCACTCTTCCCCCTCCTTCCTGTTTCCCTTTGTCCTTCTTTCCTATCCCTTCCTATATTCTGAGCTTTACCCTTTGGCATATGTTGCTTTTTTGAACTCTTATGATTGGTTGTTCTAAGGAGTGTGTATCTCTCTGATATTACTATAGACCTTATAGGCCTATCTATTCTTTGGCTGGGAGCTCTGGTAGCATAGTGCCTAAGGCACTTGACTGCTAACCAGAAGGCTGGAGGTTCAAACCCACCAACCACTCCTCGGAAGGAAGGTTGGGCAATCTACTTCTGTAG